AGACCCTTGGGTTCAGTTTAGTTAACAACAGATTACTCATTTGCTTTGCTTACTCCAAAGGACTCCACAGTTAGGTAGAACCTCACTAACATGAAACAGAAAGATCCCACTTTTTGGGATACGTTGTATTTGTAGAGGAAGAGCTAGGACATCAAGAAAGAAGTCTGAATTTTGCATGCTTAAGGACAACACATCTCCACCAAGAAAGGAGATCAGAGAGCGCTGCCTGGAAGGACACACAGACTTCAAGGAATTGTTTTAAGCCACAAAGTGCAGGTGTGATGGGAAATCTCCTCCTGACACCTACATCAGCACTGTAATGCTACTCCCAGTGCAGCTGCAGGTAAGTAGGGGTGAGTTTCATCTGTGTTGACATGAGCTCTCATCCCAGCTGGTCGCCCACAGCTCCCATTGTAGCACTGGTATCCATGCTAGCAAAGATGAAGGGATGGTTCTGCAGCAGCTTTACTGGAAGCCTATTTTAATCTTACAACCAGCTGTGCCACAGGGGCAGTCAGGAAAGCTCTACCAGAAGGGTATAAGGCTAGAGCACAGCACCTTGAGATTTTCACTGCACTTTGCCCTGAAATACATAGCATAAATGGAGCCTGATCTTAACAAGACACCACCCAACACTCCTGCTGAGCCCCATCCTCACTGCTTGTATTACACTATAGCTGCCCAATGCACCTCGAGGAGTGCATTGCAATTATCAAGCATTTACACTGCATTTCTCTGCTCCAAATCCAGTCAGAACAGGATCTCATTTTCATTTTTTAGTCCATTTCAAACCTATCCAGCCTTTGCCACCCTTCCTCGAGGTGTTTCAGCTCCCTGTGACACAAAGCCAATACTGACCTCTTCCCTATTCAAGACATCCACCAGAAATTCTCAGAGCCAACTGGAGAGCATCTCAGTAAAGCCTGTAATCGAGGAGCACAGCACAGACCTGGAGAGTATTATCTTTGTCAGCTAAAAGAACTGCCTGAATTATTAATTCCCATAAAGTCTTACTGAAAAGGTTCTAATAATTTACTCTTGAATAGCTGGAAGAATTCAATGCATTGCAGATTCGCTTTTTACGCTGCAGGATTACCTCATACATTATACATATTGCTTAACATACAGAAGCCAAACAAAAGCACTCCCTCAATCATCAGCTTGGTTGTTGCAGCAATCCAGGAGCCCCTTAACATTGCACACCTTTCTTTTGGAGCTCCTATCTGCTCCAAGCCAACGCTGCCCTCTTCCCCACACCTCACTGCCCTACGGTCACCCTCAGAATGAACCCATCTCCATCCTCTGCCATCCACAGAAGGGCTTTACAGCAACGCAGCTAACTCTTAACTTTGCATTTAACTTCTGTTCCCATCATCTTCTCTCTAAGGAACCAGATTCGCTGCTGTGACAGGGATAATTGGAACCTCCCAGGCACTGCCCAGCTGGGTCTCCCTGCCCTGCTGGGGAAACACAGGGAAGAAGTTACACTTCTGCAAAGAAAGGCAGCTAAACGTGCATCTTCAACCTGAATTTTCCCTTCCAATCATCCGATGGCTGGCAGTCTGCTTCAGCTCCTTTACCTCCACGTGATGCCTTCCTAATAAAACCCTGCTCTCTGCAGGTCGCTACAAACACATCCTTAGGACATCTGTCACCACCACATCTGGTGTTTGAGCATTATCTACTCTTGCCCTTCAGCCTACCGAGTTTCATTTCAGCTCCTCAGGGGCACAGCTCCCTGACACCGTATGTCTACTATGTCTGAGCACAGCTGGATCTTTTCTTAGTAAATCCTTTGCTTCCCAGTGCAGGCAGAGCTCCTTCAGCCCAGCTGCAAGGCAAGCAAACCCGGATGGACACCACCATCCATCCTGCCAAAAGCTATTCATGTCAACAGGAAGTGTGACAGAGAAATCACGGCTACAAAGCACGCAGTCCGAGACCACTTCAAATGTTTAGCTTCCAATTTCCCTCCCAGCTGAGGACACAGAGTACAGTTTCCACCCTCGTCCTGTTACCACGTAATCACGTCCCAGTATGCAGCACACAAGGCTTCCACAGCTCCTGCACCCCATGCTGAAAGGAATGCTTAAGACAAATTAGCCCTACCTTCCTAAATATGTTTTGCCCTTGAAAAAGACGTAACACAAACCAAAAAGGCTTCCTGGGCTTTGGAGCAATGAATTGGAGAAATTTCAGGTGACATACTAATGTGTTAGAGATGACTATTGTCACTTTTCACCCTCCACTTTTTACCTAATGGACGTGCTGCACCAATGTCCACCTGGAAAAGAAAACAGTTCCTTCTGTGGCTCCCTCCCCTCATGATTACTTACCCTGTGCTGACCCAAAGAAAATTCTGCCCTTTCACTGCAGCAACTCAGGACAAGGAGATATGGGTTCAAGGGGGAATGGCTTGAAAGTGAGACAGGGGAGGTTTGGGTTGGATGTGAGGAGGAAGTTTTGGAGGCAGAGGGTGGTGAGGCACTGGCACAGGTTGCCCAAGGAGGCTGTGGATGCCCCATCCCTGTAGGCATTCAGGGCCAGGCTGGATGTGGCTCTGGGCAGCCTGGGCTGCTGCTTGGCGACCTGCACACAGCAGGGCTTGGAGCTGGATGAGCGCTGTGCTCCTCTGCAACCCAGGCTATTTTATGTTTCTATGAACTTTTCTCTGAAGGAAGGAAGGAGAACAGCTAAACAGAACAAGCTCCCATCGCTTCCTCCTCAGTGGCTCCATCTCATCCCCAAACCCACAGCTCCTGGACAACTCTGGAGGAACTCAGACCTGACCTTTGCTCATCCCAAACGAGGCAGCAGAACAGCTTCCACAAGTGCTCTTCTTTCAAATTCATCCTTCAGAGAGCGAATGCAGGTGAGTATTTCTTCAGAACAAATCTCAAGCAAAGTCTTCAAGTGATCCTGACTTAAGGTCAATGCAGCCTGGCTTCTAAGGGAAGCGGCTCGTAAGGGAAAAAAAGGCAGAGAACATTCTGTGCGCTTTCATTAAGCACAGCTCACCACAAAGCACAGCGAGGATCCAGGCAGCGTTTGCTGATGCAAGCTGACAAGGATGGATGTGGAGAACACCTGGGGACTGGTGCAAAAATAGCTGGGGATGTACAGCATCTTCTGCACAACAAGATGCTTCGCCTGTATGACGCAATGCCACAGCAGCACAGGGGAAAAAGAGAGGACACCAGAATAGACTGCAGCAAGCTTACCAACATGCTGTGCAAGAGCTGCACAGGATCCTGCTTTTCAGCACCAAAACCACTCCACGACTTACTTTTCTACCAACAGAAACCCAACTCCACTGCAGCACACCTTAAGAAGCCACACTACCTGTTTCTCCTTCCCAGCTCTGCTCTCCATACAACCCATACCGTACAACCACTCAGGTTGGAAAAGACCACCAAGGTCCCCAAACACAACCACAGCCCATCCCCACCATGCCCACATCCCTCAGTGCCACATCCCCACGGGTCTGGAACAACCCCAGGGATGGTCAGACCCCTGCACTCCCTGGGCAGCTGTGCCACTGCATCACCACTCCTTTAGAGAAGACAAATATTCTCCTCCTGCAGTACTTTGCAAGCAACAATAATGGTAAATTGCTTCACACAAAGACTCTGTTGCTGATGGGATGAGAGGAAATGGCCTCAAGTTGCATCAGGGAAGGTTTAGGTTGAGTATCAGGAGGAAGCTTTTGGTAGGAAGGGTTGTTAAGCACTAAAACAGGCTGCCCAGAGAGGTAGTTTTGAGTCACCATCTCTGGATGTGTTCAAAAACCACCTGGATGTGGTGCTCACGGCCATGATTTAGTGGTGGGTCGTTAGAGTTATGGTAGTATGGTTGAGTTGTGGCTATACTTGATCTTCAAGGCCTTTTCCAACCAGAGCAATTCTGGGGTGGCAGTGGGGAATCATCTGCTGAGAACAAAGCAGCTGGCAGATCCAATGTAAGAGCAGATTCTCCAGTCAGGCATTCCAGGCGAGTGCTTGGGAAGCATCAGATCAGTGAGAGAGCACACAGCTGCCCTGGAATCCCTTGAAAACACTTCATGCAGGGCACTTCTTCACTGCCCCATCTTCCAAAAGGTGAGAATTGACTGAACCTGAAATTAAGCATTCAAAGGTGGCTCTCGAATCCTTGACTCATTCTCAGCAGTGCAAGTCCTGCACCGTCTGCAACAAGCATTTAAAATATCGACCACACAATTCCATAGGGAAATTCTTCTCTAGTGGTCAGGCCTTACTGTAGGGAACGTGCTAATAATTAGCACAAGGCTCTTCTCAAATTTACTACATGTTCTGCAGTTTAATGATGGAAAACTCAGCTGTATTTCACAGAAGAAAAATCCTTTGTGTAACATTAAGTAAAACTGCACAATTCCTAAGGCCACAACTGTATTAACAGTAAATTACTTGCTTCAACACTTCCAGGAGCCTGCAGACATAAATAAACAGATGGAAGCAGTCTTGAATGGAGAAAGAGGAAAATAATTTTTCAGCACAAACCAACAGATGATTACAACACTGGGATAGTTTCAGTGAGGAAAGCTTTTTTTCAGGACTGCCATTATGCTACAGCATCCAAAAAAAGTGCTAAATGTGACGGGATGCAGCCTTCCCACCTGCCTGCTGCTATGCAGCTCCAGGAAAGTCACATCACAGAATGGCCTGGGTTGCAAAGGAGCTCAATGCTCATCCAGCTCCAAGCCCTGCTGTGTGCAGGTCGGCAAGCAGCAGCCCAGGCTGCCCAGAGCCACATCCAGCCTGGCCTTGAATGCCTGCAGGGATGGGGCATCCACAGCCTCCTTGGGCAACCTGTGCCAGTGCCTCACCACCCTCTGCCTCCAAAACTTCCTCCTCACATCCAACCCAAACCTCCCCTGTCTCACTTTCAAGCCATTCCCCTTGTCCTGTCACCACCCACCCTCACACACAGCCATTCCCCCTCCTGTTCATCCGCTCCCTTCAAGCACTGAAGGCCACCATCAGGTCTCCCTGCAGCCTTCTCTTCTCCAAGCCAAACAAGCCCAGTTCCCTCAGCCTTTCCTCACACAGAGCTGCTCCAGCCCTCTGCTCATCTCAGTGCCCTCCTCTGGACCCACTCCCAGAGCTCCACGTCCTTCCTGCGCTGGTGGCCCCAGGCCTGGATGCAGCGCTGCAGATGGGGCCTCACAAGAGCAGAGTAGATGGGGACGATCACCTCCCTCTCCCTGGGAGGGAATCCCTATTTCCTCCTCCAAATCACACTGAGTTCAGTTCAAAGCCAACTAAAACTGCAGTGGCAGGTAGTACAATCACAGAGTTAGCTGCACGGATAAAAGTCACTCCAATGGCTGCTTAGCCCCAAAAAATTTTTTTAGAAGTTTAAATCAGAGAGAAAAAACAAGGAATTTGGGAAAACAATTATAAGTATGAATTGAGTAATAAAGAACTGGCAAGAAAGGAGGAGCTGAGAAGGTACGACAAAAAGTTGAGCTGAGGCTGGAAAAGGGATGGGAAGAGACCCAGCATGCCAAGGCTTTGCTGTAAGGCACTCTGAGGACAGCAGGAAAGGCCAAACAGCTCCGGATTTCCTCCAGATGACACGCCAAACTCCAACTTTCCTCAGCCATTTGAAGTTGAGCCTCTTGCTGCTCTCACCTGCCACGCTGAGAGGTTCTCCTGTAGCTCTATGCAAGCAAGCACGAGAAGCTCTGCTTCAGTGCAGCCACTCCAGCTTTGATGCAGACGTGAAGAGATGTTCAGCCATTTTGAGCGAGCCAAGGACACAACACTCAACAACTGCTTCAGGAGCAGATGCATCCATTTAAAACCAGAAGAAAACACATCAGGTAACACAAGCAACAAAGACGAAAGGTGGAGAAACTCCAGCATGAGGAGCTGCCTACTCCTGCCTAGCAAAGTCAAGATGAGGTCAGAACTTGCTTTGAAAGAGGAGATAATGCAGCACAGTATTCCGCTGCCAATTAATACCGCTACACATGAAAGTTAAGCCTCCTTCACCTCCCTTCACAATGCTGCCTGCATCCATCAGGAAACATTACCTGCAGCTTCAGCTGCTTTTACAAAAGAAAACGTTCTCCACTTACCTGCATTTCTAATTGAATGCCCTCTCTGCTGGCCCTGAGCTCACGCTGCTCCCACCGAAATGCATCGATCTCTGTCTGCACGCTCCACTCCTGCTGGCAATACTTGCAAGGAATTTTGGTCCCTCCATTTCCTCTACCATCTCAGACATCTCCTGGATGATTCAATCACCCATCTAACTCACATCCCACCGTCAGGCTGTAAATGAAATCCCTCCCACCCCACCAAGCAGGGTTTCTCATGGCCACTGCTGGCAGAAGAGGACTGAGTCGGTCATCAGTACGTACTTCCTACCCCCAGAGAAGACAATACCTTCTTTAACACAAGCAAAGTGCCCAGCCCTACAAGCTGCAAGGAAACTTCAGCGGTGAGGTTAACGCAGCACTGCCTGCCCACTTCTCTGCAGACAGCCTCAGGGTCTCTGCAGGGCCCCACTCTCAGCCCATGACACAAAATCATTCTCCCCAACTGCAGCAGCAGCTACTCGGCCCCTTGGCAGAGACACAACTCACAGCAATACTGTCAGTCCTGCATCACACACTGCTTGGAGCCACGCCAGTGAAAATTCACCCTTTGGGGGCCCCCTCTCCTTTTCGCTGCCCATCTATCCTAGATTTAATTTCCCTTCCCTTTGCGTTGCACATATCAAGAGCATTAAGAAAATGAATTGGCTGTAACTCAAACCTAGAGAGAGGTAAGTACAGGAAGCGTAACAGGAAGCATTTAGAGAAATGGAATAAACGGACCTCTGCATTAATTACAGGAATGGTGGAACGGGGTTTGTTTGCTGCAGTAATTGCTGATTGCTCTCCCAGAAGCGAATGACTGAATAACATCACTCAGCAGGACAAAAAGCACTCATGGATACAGTCTCAAACATTCACAGTACAAAGGTTTAAGGAGTAACGACTGGAGATGGAAGACGCATCCAGTGGAAGTTAAGAACGTTTCACCCTTAGCAGGTTTACCTGCAGGCAGAGGTTGGTGGCCCTGCCTGTGGTGGGGGGTTGGAGCTTCATGATCCTCGAGGTCCCTTCCAACCCAACCGTTCTGTGATTCTATGAAGGAAGCAGATCCAACTGTAGAGAAAGAAGTCCATGGGACCAAAGGTCTCTCAAAGAATCATAGAACCCTTAGAATTGGAAGGGACCTCTGGGAGGCATCTAGACCAACTCTCCTACAATGAGCAGGGACACCACGAGGCATGCCAAGTTCATGGAATCATCCAGGTTGGAAAGAACCTCCAAGATCCCCAAACACAACACCAACCCACCCTGATGCAGCCAGTTCTGGCCACATCTGAAGACAAAATAGCTAACTGCTCACCACAGCTGCTCCAGTATTTCTACCAGAGCCTTTCAGTTCCAGGCAAATATGCTTCAGCTTTAAAGCAAAGCCTTAATGCTGTGTGTTGATGACACCTACACATGTCTAGATGAGAGAACACTACGAGCCTGCAAATCCCAGAATAGCTGAGTGGCATCTCCAGGGATACTGGCATCAAGTCAAGTCACGGAAACGCTTCCAGTATGTCCCATCTCTCTGTAATAAAATGGAAGCAACTACAACGGGTGCTGAATAAAGAAACATGCATCAGCATCCACCTGTATTCTACCAGGTGCCTGCAAGTGAGTTCTTTATTGACAGAGAGTGGTGAGGGGCTGGAACAGCTGCCCAGAGAGGCTGTGATGCCCCGTCCATCCCTGGAGGTGTTCAAGGCCAGGTTGGATGGGGCCCTGGGCAGCCTGGGCTGCTGTGAGATGGGGAGGTTGGTGGCCCTGCATTGGTGGGGGGTTGGAGCTTCGTGATCCTTGAGCTCCCTTCCATCCCAAGCCGTTCTGGGATTCTGTGAAGGCAGCCACACAGGAAACACCTCCAAAGACACCATTGGACTTGGTGGCTGCACAGCACTGGCATTGCCACTGGTCTCAGCGAAGGGACTGACAGAAAAGCTTCCAACGTGGCCAAAAAATGCCCAAAGAGAAGGAAGGACTACTGAGCACATCCTCATTTCAGCTGGTTCTCATCACTGTCAAGCCTTCAGGATTTGCCTTTGGCTTTGTAAAAAAACGCTTCAAGAACTCCGACCTCAGGCTATGAGTAGTGCAGTAACTGAAGCAGACAGCATCCCACCAGGCGTGCCGGGGGTCAGAGAGGACTTCTCAGAGCACACAGCAGAGCTGAGGCAGCCAACACACTGACATCTCACAGTGGTGTAGCAGTCAGCCAGCAGAACTGACTGACTGGGAACAAGGAAAAGTTACACTCTCATTCTATAAAGTCAAGTTAAACAAATGCCACAATTGAGCCCTCCAGCTGAATAAGGCTTTCCTTCCTAACTTGAGAGCCAACAGGAGGCAGCCCCAGCAAGGACATTGCTCCAGGGCTCAGCAGCATTCCAAGCAGGTCCACATACCCAATAGAAAGCCATTCAGCTTTTCAACTTTGTGTAAGCTCAGTAAAGAAATAAAATAAAATATACCATAACCCCCAAACTTTCTACTTTTATCACCCCTGTTGTGACTGCTGCTTATTTACTGAGGCACTGCTTTGTTTAGACTGCTTCCATAAATGATACCAACGCATCAAACTCATAATATTTTGATAGCATCAGCAGCAGTGACTTCAGTTTTGTGTTGCAACCCAGAAGGGATGCAGGAGAGCTGCCACAGCCTCTGAGAAACAGCTGCCTGCCACAAGGAGCCATTTCCTGCAGGCTGCAGGACTCAACAGGAGAGATCCAGAGGCTGTCACAGAAAAGTCTTACGGCATTCACGTCAAGGCAGCACAACAATTTCTTCTGAGCCATGTTTCAAACCACTGAGAGCCTGTTTGGTTTGCTGTCGGTTGTTTTGCTAAATGAGCAGCACATGCAACAGGTCCTTGATGTAACAAATGCCTCTGCGCAACTGAACTCAGCCTGTGCTACATCTTCATAGAGAGACCAGGAAGGTGGATTTCTATGGACTGGTGAAGCCTGTAAGAATGACTGAGAGCAGCAAGCACTGGCACTTCCTAATCCTTAGACCTCCCCAGGGCAGCTGGCCTCAGCTCAGGTCCTCCCTCTTTGCTCCTCTGTTAGCATCACTTGAGCCTTACACATCAGTTTTGCAGAGCCTGCACCTCGTGCCAGACCTCCCCAAATCATCTGCCAGATAAAAATCCGTTATCTTATAGCGAGGAGATAAGGAGATTCAACTTGCAGGCTCACTGTTTCTCAGATACGGATAAAAGAACAGACCAAAGCACAGCCATACAGCTGTTCTTCCTTGGAAGAGAAATCCAGCTCCTCCAGAGGCTTCCACAGACAGACAGGAACCAGAAGGCTCCATGAGAACTGGCACCACAGCCAATTCCAGGCCTGCTCTCCACGCCTGCCACGCTCCTTGCAGGCACTGTTGGAAGGCTGTTCTATTTCATAGAAAACCAAGCACCTGAAGACACGGCCACGAGAAAACCAAGGCACCAGGAAATCGAGAGGAGCAGAATGAACAACAGCTCTTGGAAGCTTCAAAGCTGAGCACTCCTTAAGAAGAGGATTTGATGCTGCAGAGGGATGGCAGCCTACACAGACTGGTCAGTGCCAGGCCAGCCCCTCACTCACAAACCACCCCCCGCCCTCCAGTCACCTCATTAGATGGTTGCACTGGAAGATCTTGGAAGGCTTTTCCAACCCTCTGCTTCTATGATCCCACGACAGCACGTCCAGCAGCATCCAGCCCAACGCCACCACAGCTCTTTATTTAGTGGTCTCTAAACTGTTACAGTCTGCAAGTTATTACATAGCACTTAGCAGCATCTTCAGCATTAAAACCTTGGTTCCTGATAAGCAGGGCTAATTGCTTTTAATTTACTTTTTATTTTTTTTAGATCTCGTGCAACGCGTTAAGAGACAACGGGGATTCATTCTGCCATCTGTATTTGTATTCGTGCCCTTCAGACTTGCTTGCAATAAAAGCTGCACCATAAAGCCACGTGATGGACGAATCCTTGTGACAGTGCCCCAGCATTCCAATCTGCTCACTCAAAAATGGGCATAAGCAGACACGTCCACCCGCCAGACAGAACTAAAGCTGGTCTGTTTGATCAGATACCATATTTACTGTGAGCCACCCTAGCACAGGTGACGTATGCACTAACTGATGTGACCCAGAAATCTGAATTTCTTCGACTCGAGGCATGAGGACTGATGAAAGCCACCTGATAAAACAAGATCAAAGGCAGCAGGAAGCAGAGCATTTTTCTTTTTTCATACAATAGCTTTATCTAATCCCCCAGCACTGAGCTCTCTGCTTTTTCAGCAAAGATTAGCATATTTAAAAGTACTAAACTCCATAATCTCTGATCATTGAGAAAAGTAATTCAATTAAGGCGAGGGCTGGTGAAGCTGCCTTCTTGCTGGCTACCTAACGCCGCATCCTTGTACTACAAGCTGGGGAACAAAATGAGACGGAGAAGGAAAGAGAAGCTTCTTTGAGCTGGACAGGGATTAAATTGCAGGCTGGTGATGGATCCACACGGAGCTGAGCGCAACCACTGCCATGGAGAGGCAATGACTTGCAGTAAATCCTGGAAGGAGCTGCCAGTGACCTTCTGCCATTGCACGGAGCCGCAGCAGGGTGTCATTGCTCGAGGAGCTGCCACAGTGAAAGCACCAAGGGAAGGGGGTGGAAGAAACCACGGGCAATGGAAAGGCTTTGGAAACTGGGGAGCGAGGGGAGAAAGGGCTTTAAAAACCTACCAGCATCTTAGCATAGAGAATCTGCAGCTGGCAGCAAGCAGCACAAGCAGGAAGAATCGCTGCAGTCACACGGAGCAGACCTACCACAATATGGCTGAGGACAGCAGCAGAAACCTGACTGCATCCACAGCAACCTCAGTTTCAGATGCAAATAAAGCATCTCCAATCACTCCCAGGTCCTACGTGGCAATCGCTGGCCACACAATCGCACCTCGGGGCTGCAAAACACGCACAGCAATGAACTCATTAGGGATTTCTTAACCAAAACATACTTATTTATTGAAGAGACTGCATGCAGTCAGCACTGACGGTCTGATCTTAGCTCGCTGTGGCTGCTCAGGCAGCTACTGCTGCATCGCAGCCCTTGGTAACACCTCATTTGCCATAGTGAAGCCCCTGAATGTAAATGAAAGAGAAGCATCCAGCATCCCCACAAGCAGCAGGAGAAGATCTTTGATTACGGCCTTCCAGCAGGGCAGGAAACCTTTCAGCTAAACAGGAAGCAAAGGCAATAATCCACTTCAACAGTTGTGGAAAGAGATATTCCCATTTGTAAAATCTGCTGTTGGAAATACACATAAAGATATTTCTCCTTAACCTTCAAAATGGAAAACGGCAAAGGGAGACACACGGATGTAAAACCCACTGGAACTCCCTTTGCAGGATGAGAGATGCTTCTGTATTACTGCCACGCTAACGAAGATCATTATTAGGACATTTATTCTTCCAGGAGCTGCTTGTAATGGGAGAATCACAGAACTGCAGGGGTAGGAAGGGACCTCTGGAGATCACCCAGCCCAACCCCCTGCTAAAGCAGGTCCCCTACGGCGGGTTCATGAGCTACTCATGCTTCAGCTGGTATAAAAAAACACACAGAAACCCACAATGACAGCAGCATCTGTAGTGACCGAACCCCAAAACACAAAAAGCCATTTCCCCACTGCACTCAGAGCCACCTGGGCGCAGCGCAGCCACGGAGTCATCGCTCAGCAGCTGAGACAAAGGCAGGTCGGAGCCTCAGCACAGCTGCCAGCAGCTCTGAGTGCTTCCTTAAAGCCCCAAGGCATCTGCAAGCTGGTCACAGCAGCAGGGCTGGGTTTTTATAGTTATTAAATACACGTTTCCCCACGTTTTAGGCCATTATTTAAGGCCTTGTATAGACACAAATGATTAGCTAAAAGGGGGTGGGGGAAGAATCAGGCTAGAGGAAGAAGGTATCTGAAAACATCTGTTTGAATAGAGAGATGGGAAATCCACATGTGAACGAAGAGCTGCTGAAATTTAAGGTCTGCATTGGCAGCTCCCACAGAAGCATAATTAAAGTCAGAAATACAGTAAAACAAGCAAACGCACAGCTAGAGCTTTAAGTTCTCCTTGTTAATTAGCTGGGGATGAAGTAACGATTGAGAAAAATAAAGAAAAAAAAGACCAGACCACATCTGCACAACCCTCCTCTCCAAAAAACCTCCTAAGATGGCTGGCCAAACAGCACCCCAGCGAGTGGATCAGCTGACTTACCCAAAAAGAAATGCCTAAGTTGAGGCTGAATTTGCTAATAGGAAGAAGAGATGGGGGAGGAAAAAAAAAGCAGAAAAAATAAGCGATGATTTAAATGGGGCGGACAAAAGGAAATCGCCCACAGGAGGGGCTGGAGAGGCTCCACGTCCATTCAACTCAATGGAGGGAGTGCGGGTCAATGCAATCCAACGGCAACCCCAGCCCCGAGCTGGGGGCTGCACGGCTGAGCACGTGAGAGAGACGGGGGGGGGAGAAAAAAGGAGAAGGAAAAGCGAGCCAACAAAACACGATGACGTGTTTCATCACTGAGAGCAAAGGTGGATCCAGCCCCGCACCTGGGGCGGCTCTTCCTTCACAGCGCTCGGCTGGTGCAGAAAACACCACAGAACGAAGGCGGCATCTCCTGCCAGAGATAAAACGCCGCAATTGGGGTCCGCTGAATCAGCAGCCGCCTCTGGAGATGGGGTTGTTTTTTGGTTTTTTTTTTGGCTTTTTTTGTTTTGTTTCGTTCTTTTGCTTGAAATCGGCACACAGCAGCGCGCAGTTCCCAACCCAGCGGTAGCAGAGGGCAGGCAGGGGGCAACGGCTCTGCTACAGAGACCACAGGGAGGCAGGAAGGGAAAAGAGGGAAGGGGGGGGGGGGGGTGGGATCCCCTCACAGCGGCGGTTGGGGGCTGAAGGGTTGGGGGATGGCGGCACGGGCCGGGCCGTGACTCACCGCTCTGCTCTCCCAGGAACACCAGCTTGAATTTCCGCAGCGGGTTGCCGAAGTCCCCGCCCGCCGACATGATGATGGTACCGCCGCCCCGCTCGCTGGCTTTCGCTCCACTCCACGCGGTTGGGATCCGCGAATTTTCCTCTCTTTTTTTTTTTTTTTTTTTTTTCTTGCCCTACTTCCTCCCCTCAGGATGCGGGTAGGGCCGTGGGATCGCTCCCCCGGCCGGGCTCGGGGAGGTGGACGGCGACGGATCGCGTCGTGCCGCTGCCGCTGCCGCTCCCCTCAGGGCCGGGCTCGGTCCGCCGCGCCGCCTCGCCTCACACCGCCGCCGGTCCCGCCCCGCCCCTGCGCACGCGCGGCGCCGCCCCGCCCCCTCAGCGAACGTCACGCCGCGCGCACGCCCCGCCCCTTCCCCTGGAGCGAGCCAATCCGAGCGAGAGGGCGGAGCTTAGCTCCCGGCTTAGGGTGGGGCGCCCATTTCAGACCGGAACGATGGCGGCGCGCGGTGCGTAGCTCCGTGAGCGCTCAGACGCGTCAACTGAGCTCCAGTGTCTGCAGGGAAAGGGCACCACCGCCTCTCTGGGAATCCCGCTCCTCAACACACTAAATAACTTTTATATCATAGAATGGCCTGGGTTACAAAGGAGCTCAATGCTCATCCACTTCCAACCCCTTGCTGTGTGCAGGGTCACCAACCAGCAGCCCAAGCTGCCCAGAGCCACATCCAGCCTGGCCTTCTTCACATGCCGAGCTGTGCACACCGCAGTGAGGAGCAGGGATGGCATCCAAGCACTTCCCAGCTTGGAGAAGAGAAGGATATGGGGAGACCTCATGGTGGCCTTCCAGTACTTGAAGGGAGCGGATAAACAGGAGGGGGAACGGCTGTGTGTGAGGGTGGGTGGTGACAGGACAAGGGGAATGGCTTGAAAGTGAGACAGGGGAGGTTTGGGTTGGATGTGAGGAGGAAGTTTTGGAGGCAGAGGGTGGTGAGGCACTGGCACAGGTTGCCCAAGGAGGCTGTGGATGCCCCATCCCTGCAGGCATTCAAGGCCAGGCTGGATGTGGCTCTGGGCAGCCTGGGCTGCTGCTTGGCGACCTGCACACAGCAGGGCTTGGAGCTGGATGAGCGCTGTGCTCCTGTGCAACCCAGGCCATTCTATCAGCCCATGATTCTATGATTTTTGCTGCTGTCTCAGGGAAGGGAAAAAAAAAAAAAAAACCAAAAGCTCTGCAGTTTGTGCAGGTAATTGCTTTGGGTGATCTCCAAGTCTGCATAAATCAGTGTCACTGCTGCTCAGCCTCTTGAGGCCTGGAAGCAACTGATGGTGCTCCAGGTGAAGAGATTCTCCTCCAATCCCTCCTCTTTTTGCACCTCCTTCCCTGAGTCTCACGAATCCCCAAATCCTCCCCCATTTCAGCTCCAATGTGGCACATCTGAAGCAGACTTTAAAACCTCACACATCTATTTTCGCTCTCCCAGAATCCAAGGCCATTTCCGAGGCAGCCGCTCAGTGCCTCTGATCAGCGCCTGAGCCCCCACCCTGTGTGGGGCCACGGACAGAATACAGGAAATTCTTAGTGACCTCTGCTGTTTCCAGGTCTCCAGAAGCAAACACAGCCCAGCCATCTCAAGAGGCATCTCTGGGAGTGGGGATATACAGAGGGACATCAAACTTCATAGAATCACACAATCACAAAGGTTGGAAAAGACCTCTGAGATCCCCAAGCCCAACCCCAGCCCACCCCACTATGCCCACATCCCTCAGTGCCACATCCCCATGGTTCTGAACACCCCCAGGGATGGTGACCCCCCCCTCCCCGTGCAGCTGTGCCACTGCTTCACCACTCTTTGGAGAAGAAATTTTCCCTAATACCCAGCCTGGCCCTTCCTGGAACAACTTAAGGCCATCACCTCTTGTTCTATTCAAGAAGCACCTGGATTACACTCTCAGATATATGGTGTGATTTTGGGGTGTCCTGTGTTGGACACCTTATGGGCACCTCCTTACCTGGATATTAATCACAGAATGGCCTGGGTTGCAAAGGAGCACAGTGCTCATCCAGCTCCAAGCCTCTGCTGTGTGCAGGTCACCAACCAGCAGCCCAGGCTGCCCAGAGCCACATCCAGCCTGGCCTTGAATGCCTGCAGGGCTGAGGAGCATCCACAACCTCTCTGTCCAATATTCTGTGCTTCTATCACTGCTTACCTGAGACAAAAGACCAACATTTCTGAAACAGCCTCATGGTCAGCACAGGTCAGTGGTGCAGGACGGGCCCAACCCAACCAGCAGACGGGTTGTGTGGGGCAGTTGGTTGCCAAATGTGTGCTATTCCAACACATTCTTGTTTGGGTTCATTGAAATAGGTCTTTGTTTGAAGGAAAAGAAAGAAATCTGGGTCTTTTTTGTAATTATTTTTTAATGAACTGCAACTAGTTGACTGGAGGGCTGCACAAGCAATTGGGCTTCTAATTACAGGTTAAAAATATACACAGTGACCACAAGCCTTTGCTAGAGACAGCCAAAATGCAAAGGTCTCAAAGGAGGGGGGGGAAACAAAAAGTGAAGTCCTTGCAACTGAAGGCTTAATCCTCAACTGGAGGATTCCTTTTAGATTCCAACTCCTTTTAGAGAGAGCACAGGGTGAGCTCCTTGTGACAGCACAGCATATTTACAGCAGCACACCCCAGTTTTACAGGAGCAGCTGCTGGGGACACACAGGAGCCTTTGGGACTTATGCCTGAGGAAATCCTGAACCCCACCTTGGGGCAGGCCAGACCTTTAGCTAATTTTAGCCCATTTTGCCCCATTTTGCTTGGTTTGCTCTCAAGGTTCAGCAGAGAGGAGGCTCTCAGCTGCATCCCATCACGTGTGCCCATTTCATCCCATTTAAACACTGCTTTTGGGACCCCCCTTGCTGGTGCAGCATTGCTCCCTCCTGTATGTCGGTGTAATCGCACACCGACCGATTCTCTCTGATTCAGGTTACTGAGATTTAAACACAAAATGGGATTTTCAGAAGCACTCACCCTCAAGCTTCCCAGGGCTTCAGCTGGCTTCAGCACCTGCTGTTCCCATGAATATCTCAGCGTGGCTGCCTGGAAGGAGGACGTGCTCAATCACAGAGCCCTTTAGGGGTCTCAGCTCCTGCTTGCAAGTTTTATTCACGTTGGCATCGATGCAAATCTGCTGTGATTCAGTCCACAAGGTTCAAACAACGTTATGCAGGGTTGCCTGTAGGGATTCAATGCACCCTCACCTCTAGGACCAACACAGCCTGATTGCAGATTCAGATTTCTACCAGGAAACAAAGGTTTTCCTCCAGTTCTCTTTCTGGCAGTTTGCTCCAGAGCCTCTTCTCCAGCAGTCAGCAGCACTCACTGGTCTGCGGGTGTTTGGAGCTGATGAGAAGAAATCTCTCTTGTAGTCCTAAATTCTGTTTTCCAGTGTTTGGTGGAGTGTCTTCCAATAGTATCCTTCCAATACCTGTAAGGAGCGGATAAACAGGAGGGGGAACAGCTGTGTGTGAGGGTGGGTGGTGACAGGACAAGGGGAATGGCTTGAAAGTGAGACAGGGGAGGTTTGGGTTGGATGTGAGGAGGAAGTTTTGGAGGCAGAGGGTGGTGAGGCAGTGGCACAGGTTGCCCAAGGAGGCTGTGGATGCCCCATCCCTGCAGGCATTCAAGGCCAGGCTGGATGTGGCTCTGGGCAGCCTGGGCTGCTGCTTGGCGACCTGCACACAGCAGGGCTTGGAGCTGGATGAGCATTGAGCTCCTTTGCAACCCAGGCCATTCTGTCATTCTATGAAACTGCACCAACAATCCAGGTGCACAATGAGGTGCTTTGGAAACCAAATGCTCTATGCTTTCTATTATTGATCATTTAATCTGTATTCCCTCAATATGATTAATTGCTTATCTAAAGTGCATTTTTCAGTCCTTGAACTGCCTAGAAAAAAAAGTGCATTTAATAAGTTGGCTAAATGCAAATAAGTTTTAATACAGGCAGTTCTCGTTCTGCTTTGCACCTGGCATTTGGGAGCCTTCCTCCCTTGCACATCACCATAACACTGCTCATTATAGCTGCTCTCCTACACGATGGGAAAGAATAATCCAGTCCAGCAGGGATCTCAGACTCATTCAGCATCGTTTCAAACACGTATGTTGTCCTTGCCTGTATACCAAAATGGATTCAGAAATCCTCCCCGTTCATCCAGGAAAAGCAGGTGCTCTCTACCAGGGACAAACCTCGACTGCTAAAGACAATCCTTTTTATCACTGCTCTGTCCAAAAGCTTTCTTCAGTCTCAGCGTCTCTTTATAATGGGCAAATGCAACACTTTGCACTGTCTGCCAGGGAGCTTCAGCCTGAGGCAGGTCTATGAAAGGAGATTTTGAGATAAAGCAATTCAGGGATCTGCTTCCATTCACTGAAGCCGCAGGCGATCGTCCACTGACTCCTGCAGGGACTTCACACGGTCCTAAGCAGCACTGCAGAAGACAGGAGCTGAGCACATCAGAGGCTGTTTTATTCCAAGTTGAACTGAAATGCTTTTCTTGTTTTTGTAATCAAACAAGTCAGAAAAGAACTGGAGACTTTCACGTGCTTTATCCCAACTCTCCCAGGACCACTTTGCTCATCTGCACAGCACGACAGAGTGGATTGAGTGAGAAGGGGCAGGGGCAATTAGCAGCCTCGTGGGTAGGCTGCAAACCACTCAAGCATCATCTCTGCCAGCATTTGTGCTACGTACCACAGCAAGCCATTACAGGGCACACCGCCGTGCGACAGGGAGAAACCTGCAATGAAGGAGAAGAGGATGCATGCAATAACCCCTCCAGCAAAGCCTGCTCATGGCTCCTCTCGGTATCTGGGGGAGACCTGAGAGAAAGAAGAGACCTCTGGGGATTTTTTTAGCACAGCACATAGGAGGGGTGTTTTGGGTTTGGTTTCCCACCAGTGGAAAGTAACAGTTCAAACCCTTGGGTTGTTTGGTTTGGTTTTTTTTTTGCTAGCAGTCACCAAAAAAAAAAAAATAATAATAATAATAAATGCAGGCTATGCTCCTGGAAACAGACAGTCTCAGCAGGTACTCAGTTACCTAGCTATGAAATGATTCATCAGTCAAAGAAAGGCATGACAAGAACTAGCAGAAGCTTCTGGGAGCAGAAGCTGGAGCACATCCAAATTGGAGACAGGGCCCCCGGTTTTCACAGAGAACACGCACAGCCAGCAGGAAAAAAACTGCCAAGAGCCATTCTGTTGCAGCCAAGGCCTCAGCCAACTCCTATCAGCATCTCATGACCACTCTGCATCTGCAACCTGTCACCCTTGCCATCTTCTCTGTAGTCATGCACTGCAGTCATGCGCTGCCTCTCCTGCAAGTCCCACCTGCAGCTCTTCAGGTACTTCACCACCACGATGGTCCTCTTCCAAACCTTCATGTTCAACAACTGCTCCAATGTCTACCATCAGAGCGAAGAGGCTGGCTGCTCCTATGTTATCTTCGTTGTACTGTGCATCACCAACCAGCACTACTTCGTGCACACTTGATTCTGCACCATCTGGCCAGCACACTTCATATGGGAGCTGCTGCAGACACAGACAACAGAGGTGCTCATGAGACTGAGCTTGAGAACAGGGAAAAGACTGAGGATGAGAGTGAGATACTCACCAGGCAGGAGCTGCATCTGCAGGAAGCCAGAACAGATGTGGCCACCGTGGGTCTGGGAAAGGCCAAGTGCCTGGATCCCACCATCAGGCCCAGAGAAGCAAGAACTTGCCTGCTTCTACTGGCTGATGGATGAGGCTGAGAAGCTGCAGGAGGTGCTGAGCCATGGCTGATGCTGCTGACCACATGCTGATGTCCACCTTCAGGGAGGAAAATACAGCCCAGAGCCTACACTGCTACCCCAGGTTAGTAGGTGATGGCTGAAAGGGTGATGAGGCACAGCCATAATGGCTGGGTGGCATTAGAGTGTGAGTTCCTACAATCAAGCAGAGCTGTGTTGAAAGTTACTTCAGTTACAGGAGCCGTCTGTGAAGAAGGAAACAGTCTGTCAAATCTGATTTTGCTTCATTTGACTTTCTGTTGAATTTCTGCTGAGCAAGTGGCTAAAAGATTCCACTGTAGTAAATTCCAAGGCTGGTAGCCAAATTTCTACTCTTGACAGCAGTCAAAATCTTTGGAGTTCTGAAGACAGGTAACAATGACACAGACCTTCTGATAGCGCTCAGATGCAAGCTCCATGAGCCTTTTCAGGCTAAAAATGAACGAGCAAAAGAAATACCTAACAAAATTTGGAACACCAGTTGGCAGCTGTGTAGCAATAGCATGAAACCTTTTCAATCATCACTGCTCACTCAGTTGTGTAAAGTGAAGGAAAAGGAAGGAATTGTGTGACAAGCTGATGCACATAATTGAGATGTACCTCATCTACATTAGGTTACATCTTGGATCTAGAGAACTAACTTGATGTTAAAAGCTTTTCTTCTCAAACTATCCCTAGTGCAAGCAAACCTGCGCTCTTTGTCATGGCTGTCGGGTGAAATCCCCAGTGATTGGTAAAAGGGAAACATCTTCACTGTTTTTAAGAAAGGGAAACATGAAGATCTGTGGAACAACAGAGCAGTGAGCCTGGGAGGATCATGGAGCAGATCCTTCTGGAAGCCATATTAAGGCACATGGAAGACAAAGAGGTGATCCCAGACATCCAGCAGGGCTTCACCAAGAGCAGCCTGTGCCTGACCAACCCAGTGGTCTTCTATCATGGAAGGAGAGCGTTGTTGCACAAAGGAGTGATAGATACCATTTAGAGGGACTTCCACAAGGCATTTAACATGGCCCTGCACCACATCCTTATCTCTCAATTGGAGAGATGTGAAGGCTGAACTATTCGACAGATAAACAACTGGTAGAAAGCTGCAGCCAGAGGGCTGTGGCCAATGGCTCCGTGTCCCAGTGGAGGCAGTGATAGAGCTGTCCTCTAAGGGTCTATCTTGGGACCAATGCTCTTCAGCATCTTTATCAAGGGCACAGGCAGTGAGATCGAGCATACCCCCAACAAGTTTGCTGATGGCACCAAGCTGAGTTGTGCAGTTGATACAAAGATGCTCAGAAAGCCAAGCAGCTCTCTTGCAAAGAAAAGCTGAGGGATCTGGGCTTGTTCAGCTTGAAGAAAGGACTCCAGTGAGACCTTTCAACACTTGAAGGGAGCTTATAAACAAGACTCACACTGACTTTTTGTGTGGTCTGGGCTTCAGAGTTCACAGAAGGAAAAACAGCCTGCCCTGAAGGGGAGAGTCAGACTGAACCCAGCTCAAACTCCACCACTGCTCCTTGCTCAAAGCACCTGGAGTTATCAAATGGCTGTAATCGCCAAGGTGGCCACACCTGGGGCTCCAGAGGTGAGGTTAAAGGGCAGCACAATGTCTGTTCCACATCAGCAGCTCTGTCGTGTCCAGGAAGTGCCACAAAAACACAGCTCAGATCTGGGAGCCTGCATCCTTGCAAGGCATGGAGGTTGGATACAAAGATGGTGCAGATCCCACCCAAGGCTAACAAGGTGGAAGTGCCAATAGCCTCACATGGAGTACAGAGCCCATCTGGGCTGTGTTCTTGTATGGACCTCGTTCTCTCACCTTTCTTGTCTTCCCTTCGTGCATTAGATTGCAATGGAGACGCAGATCCAGCATCTCAGGAGCGTCAGAAGCTCCACTCACTCAGAAAGGCAGTACAGGGGCTGACAAGGTGGATCTCAAAGCAGGAGGCAAATGTATGAGTCTGGTCAGCAGTGAAGAGGCTTGCTATATCAATGAACACTGATGATCTGGAAAAAGAGAGCGAGAGAATCTATCATGAGCCCCGGCAGCTCCAGCCAGAAGCAATTGGAGCAGCGATCAATCAGCACTGCATTAAATCCTGATCTGAAACCACACTGCCAGGCAGCTGCTGCCCATGAAGCGCAGCTCTGAGGTAGGGGCTTAGAAGCAGAAGCACCTGTGACACCAAAAAATGGGAAACTGGGACCAGGAAGGAAAGGCACAATTAAAAGCATAGGTGAAATCAAGTCTTATGTTGGAGGTGGCCTGACAAAGAAGAGGTAGGGCAGCACATTAAGGAGAGTGGCAGAGATAGGAGCAGTTTGTGAAGGGACGACTGTTCCTAAGCCACCTCCAGACTACTGGGTTTGGTAGCACAGGGCCACATTAAAGCCAACTCCTCCCACCCAGGAGTGCCAGGCAGACATTGCTGCCTACCTCACCTCCCAGTGGGAAGCACATTACCTACAAGGGAAGGCTCCTTCTTTCATAGAATCATAGAATTACAACGTTGGAAAGGACCTACAAGATCATCTAGTCCAACCATCCTGCCATTACCAATACTACCACAAGCCACTAAACCGTATCTCATAGCTCTTCATCCAGTCCATCAGCATTTCCATTTAAGTTACTTTAAGAAGCAGCCACAGAGATACAAACTGTTGTCAGAGTGCTGGCAACAAGGATTTACAGCCAGCCTTAAAACAAAGCAAAACCACAGCAGTTTGTGTTCACTTTTCCCACAAGCTGAACGCCTGCCTGCAGCAGGGCCTGAGTGCCTCATACTGAAACCTTCCCTCGTTTCCAAGCCACTTGCAGCACAAACTCAGCTGACCCCAGAACAGCAACGTGGATGTTTGCTGAGGGCTAAGGTCCAGTCCTGCCCCTGCAACCACTTGTACACGTAACAAATACCACTTGCAGTGCTCGGGCCACGCAGCAGGGCGGCTTTAGCACCGTTTCTCTCAGCTCCTCTTGGGCTGGGACTGGACCCATGTCCCTTTCCCAGGCTCCAGGATGGAGCACGGGGCTGATGAGCCCCTGCCGGGTCCCTGCACCGATCCTACAGCCGACAGGGTCAACGTTATACCGGCCGAGAGCTCCTAAAAGTGGATCGGTCAGCGCTGAGCTCCCATGAGCTCCGCCAACCACCCACCCTCCTCACAGCCCCCACAGTGCTGCGGCTAACATGGCCGCCGCGAGGCGGGAACTGCGCAGCCACGCTCAACATGGCGCCTCGTCGGTTTGATGGACGTAGAGGAAAACCAATCAGCTTGCGAAGAGGGAGAGAGGAAGACCAATCAGCTAGCGAGAAGGGAAGCAGAAAACCAATCGGTTCGCGGAGGGCGGGCGGTGGGTGGTGTGGGGCGCCACGTCGCGATGTCCCGTCTGTGAGGCCGAGGAGCAGCGTCAGTCTGAACTCATTCCGTCCCTGTATAGTCCTGCATAGTCCTGCGGTGTGCAAACGGTTATGGCGTGTTGTGTCAGAGTATCATAACAGCTGGAAAAGACCTTTGAGATCCCCAACCCATCCCCACCATGCCCACTGCCCGTGTCTCTCAGTGCCACATCCCCACGAAGCACCTCCAGGGATGGTGACCCCCACTCCCCGTCCCAGCGCTTTACAACAGGGCTCCACCTTGGGACCAGTGGTCTGTAACAGCGTTTTCAATGTCACAGCAGGATTGAGAGCCTCCTCAGCTGCTGATAAATGACACTAAGCTGAGTGGTGCAATTGAGACGAGATGGAGGGGACAGCGTTCAGAGGGAGGGGGAAAAATGGGGGGAGGGTCCAGAGGAGGGCATGGAGATGCTCAGATGATGGAGCACCTCTGTATGGGGACAGGCTGAAGGAGCTGGGGATGTTCAGCCTGGAAAAGGGAAGGCTGTGAGGAGACCTCACTGAGGCCTTCCAGTGCCTGAAGAGAGTTGATAAATAGGAGGGAGAGAAACTTTTCACACAATCTGATAGTGATAGGACAAAAGGGAATGGCTTTAAACTAAAAGATGGGCAATTTAGGTTGCGAGCAGGAAACCCCCATCCCTGCAGGCATTCAAGGCCAGGCTGGATGTGCCTCTGGGCAGCCTGGTCTGCTGATTGGCAGCCCTGCACATAGCAGGGGTTTGAAACTAGATGACCATTATGGTCCTTTGCAACCCAAGCCATTCTATCATCCTATGATTCCATGAAATTCTTTCCCCAGAGGCAACGAGGCCCCAGCTCTGCTACCCAGAGCTTCAGAACTATGGGTGCCCCCATTCCTAGGGGTGATGAAACCATGGATGGGCACTGAGCAGCCTGAGCTGGGGGGCAGTCAGCCCACAGCAGAGGGTGGGGATGGGAGGGAATTAAGCTCCCTTCCAACCCAGCCATGCTGTCATTCTAACTATACATTCCATGATCTGCCCCCAGAACAGAGGTGATGCTGACAGCTCAGCAGTTCCCTGGGCTCACCCTTGCTCACCCTTGGCTGCGATACCGCCTTTTTTCCCTCATGCACCCCTCCCTACCCCTTCCAGAAGATCACAGAATCACAGAATGACTTGGGTTGGAAGGACCTCAAAGATCATCTAGTTCCAACCACTCTGCTGTGAGCAGAATTGCCAACCATTAGATCAGGCTGACCAGGAAACTCTCAAGCTTGCCCTGGAACACCTAAAGGGATGGAGCATTGACAGCTTCTCTGGGCAGCCTGTTCTCCCACCACCCTCTGAGTGAAGAATTTCATCCTAACATCTAACCTAAGCCTCCCTTCTTTCTGGTTATATCCATTCACCCTTATCCTATCCCTGTCTATCTGTGTAAGAAGTCAGCCCCCCTCACATAAAATCAGAATCACAGAATAGCCCACATTGGAAGGGACTTCAGGGATCATGAAGCTCCAACCCCCCACCAATGCAGGGCCACCAACCTCCCCATCTCACAGCAGCCCAGGCTGCCCAGGGCCCCATCCAACCTGGCCTCCAACACCTCCAGGGATGGACGGGGCATCACAGCCTCTCTGGGCAGCTGTTCCAGCACCTCACCACTCTCTCTCTAAACAACTTCCCCCTGACATCCAACCTCCAGCTGCCCTCCCTCAACTCCAAACCATTTCCCCTTGTCCTGCTGCCATCTCCCCTTGCACAGAGCTGACTCCCCTCCTGTCTGCAGGCTCCCTTGAGGCACTGCAGGCTGCACTGAGGTCACCCCGCAGCTTCTCTTCTCCACGCTGAACAAGCCCAGCTCCCTCAGCCTGTCTTTGTAGGGAGCTGCTGCAGCCCTCTGCTCATCTTTGTGGCTCCTCTGCACTCTCTCCAACAGCTCCCTGTCTTTCTTGTCCTGGGGGCTCCAGACTTGGACACAGTGCTGCAGATGGGGCCTCAAGAGCAGAACAGAGAGGGACAATTCCCTCCCTGTCCCTGCTGGCCACCCCTCCCCAACCCCAGCTGCAGAGGTTATGCCCCATTGCCCTCCCGGTTCCTGTTGGGAGGTGGGGGCGGAACGCGGGGCGCGGGCTGCGGGGCGCGGCGGAGCGGTGTTGGGGGTGCACCGCCGGGGGAGCGCTGTGAGCGACGGACGCGGCCTTGCGGCTCTGCGGCCCTGCGGAGCGATGAGCGCGGCGGTAACGGCGGGGCAGGGGCAGAAGGGGAAGGGGTGTGTGTGGAGGACGCTGCTCTGGTAGGAGGGGAGAGAACGGGGAAGAGAGGCCCAGACCTTGCCCTGGTGCCATGCTGTGAAGGAGGGGGGCAGAATTGGGTCGGTGCTGGGATCGGGACGGTCCCTGCCCCTTTTTGGTGCTGGGGGTGGTCTGGCAGTTGTGGCCCAGTTCTGACGGATATGGAGACAAACAGCTTCTGGTACCCCGGTGGCCTTCCTTGCAGCCCGTGGATGGGGCAGAGATCTTTACTTCTCCCTGGACACCCAAGGATGGAGCACTGACACCATGGCAGCCCCCATCCCATCACCACCTCAGGTTCTTCCCAGCCTTTATTTCTCTGGTTATGAGATGAGGAGATGTGTAATTAGCCCTCTCCTAATGATGCAGCCTGCAGGGTGATGGTAATGGTAAAGCAGAGCTCCCTGTTTCTCTGCACCTGAGTGGTTGATGCATCGTAGAATGATAGAATGGCCTGGGTTGCAAAGGAGCACAGCGCTCATCCAGCTCCAAGCCCTGCTGTGTGCAGGTCGCCAAGCAGCAGCCCAGGCTGCCCAGAGCCACATCCAGCCTGGCCTTGAATGCCTGCAGGGATGGGGCATCCACAGCCTCCTTGGGCAACCTGTGCCACTGCCTCACCACCCTCTGCCTCCAAAACTTCCTCCTCACATCCAACCCAAACCTCCCCTGTCTCACTTTCAAGCCATTCCCCTTGTCCTGTCACCACCCACCCTCACACACAGCCGTTCCCCCTCCTGTTTATCTGTTCCCTTCAAGTACTGGAAGGCCACCATGAGGTCTCCCCATATTCTTGTCTTCTCCAAGTTGAAGAAGCTCAGTTCCTTCAGCCTTTCAGTGGTTGTTGGAATGGTGTTGTCACTGCTCCAGAGTGAGGGTGTCAGGAGAAGGTGATTGTAGTCATCCTCATCCTTTTGTCACTTGTCTCTTTGTTGTGGCAGATCAGAGGGCTTGGGGTGCAGTCAGAGGCTCTCAGGTATTGTTTCTGTGGGTGTATTCTGGGAAACACCAGTAAAAACTCACTAAATGTTCACCTGGTGGTTATGTGTTACAGGTGCTGTGCTTGAAAAAGGGAACATTGCTAAAGCAAGTGTTTGCTCTCAGCCGGTGAGTCATAGAAATCAACTCCATTAAATACAACACAGTATAAAGTGTTAAGAACACCTGGTCGCCTCCACAGGCTGTGTGAGAAACCATACAGTTTTTAACAAGTAATTCTTGCTGAGGAAAGGCTTTAAATTGGGGAGGGAAGGCTTGGATCTGATGTCTGGGAGCTGAAAGGTTGAAGGTTGAGGAGAGAGTCTCCTCAATCATGGAATCTCATCCGTGGCTGAGGGACATGAGGATGTGAGCCTTCGTTCAGGCGGTTTGGCCACGTGTGTAACATTTCCACAGCTGTGTGAAATGGGAGTTTTAACAATAATCTTCTTTCCTACAGAGCAGCAACACCCAGAGAAAATCGTCTGTGTGCTGCAGGTAAGGCTTCTTGTTGACTGCATGCAAGCCAAAATTTTATCTACCCTAAATAAATACTTTACATTTCAGCATTCCTGTTTCCTTCTGAATGTCTTTCAGTCACAGTTGGGCTGGTTATGTAGCCAGAATCCATGCTGTTACCCCTGTGCCTTTTTTTCCTATTTTTTTCTCCTGCTTCCATGTTCCTGGTTGAGCTGATACTTCTGTTCGTGGCTGTATGCTGACACCATCCAGAGCCTGTTGGCTGTATTACTATCCAGGAATTTACCTATGTCAGAGTGAGGTCCCACTTTAACATTTATTGAGCTGGTGGAGTCCTCTGTAGCAATTTGATTTTGATATGGAAGCATCTGTGCAGCTTAGGTCCTTGGTGTTCAGTTTCTCTTTGCTGTTCTGAGCTTCGCTTATTAAAGTGAAAGCTGTTGAGGGTTTCATTTGACTCTGGAGAAAGAAGTGTAAATAAATCCCATGATTTGATTTGACTTCCTAGCGCATGCATATTTGAACAGGGCTGAATTTAAAATGAAGTGAGGCTCAGATCCATCATAATAGCATTACTGCTGTCACGTGAGAGGAGACAGATGTAAGGTTTCATCAATACCCTCACCATCCACTGCTCTTTTCTTTGTTGTTTGGCTGAGAATTTACCTGGGAAATTTACCTTTAATCTCTTTTCTCCCTTCCTGCTGCTCACCACTAACCAGCTTGGTATTGTAGCATGCTGGATGGGATATGCAGGCAGCTCAATGAAGCTGCTGAAGCTTCCCCCAAACAACTAAAGACAAATTCATGCCCTCAGCACAGATTCTGGGCTCTCAAAGCACCAGTAGCTGTTTGTTAAAAGATGTTTTCAGCTGAATGGCATACGTGGTTGCTCTGCTTTCCTTTTCAGGTGATGCACTTGTGAGTTACCACAGACACTACAGATCCCGTCCCACGCATGGCATTGGGAAGTATAAACATCTGCTCCCAAAGGAGGTAGGCACAAAGACCTTCCAGCTGACCCATCTGTGTACAGTCTGACTCAAGCATTGGTGTTATTACTTCTGTGGCTGATGAACCGTGTTAAAAAGCAAGCAGGTGATGGCTTACTGCTGATTCTCTCAGTAGAGAATGTTCTGTCACATGAAGTACAGCACTGCATAAATGTATGTATCTATTTTGTCCAGTACATTCTTGTTTAATCTCAGTCGTTTGGGGGGAGGAATCTCTTCCTAATGATGCATTTGACAGAGCACCTTCAGATGATTGCTGAACGCTGTGAGCAGGTCGTATTTGCATTTTAAGTTTTCCACATTCTCTGGAATTGGGACAGAAGACAATTTTTGCAAAATGAAGAAACAATAACTCATCCAGACAGCTGCCTCGAAGGCAGGGGCTTGGATTGAAAGCAGGTTGATTTCCACTCGTTGGTTTCTTCTGGAAGGAATTAATCATGGCATGTGTGTATTTTTTTTTTGTGTGCCACTTCTGTAGTGCTGCCATCCAAGAACTGAGCTGCTCGACTTCTGAACATCTGCTAAGATAATGTCATCCCAGTTTCAAAGGCAGGGAAAATGAGCACAGATGGGCTGTGATGTGCTCAACGTGGTTCAGCAAACCTTTGACAAATGAGAGTATGCTAACTCAACCTCCTGTGTTAAGCAACAGTTAATGTCTTGTATTTCCAGCTGCACTGGGGGAAAAAAAAAATGCTTTCTTTTCTTTCTTTTAATACAGGTTCCAAAGAGAAAAAGGGATAGACTACAGATGAAAGAGATAAATGTTGGCACTGAACATGAGTACGGAGATATTAACATCCAGATGACTTCCTATGATATGTGTCTCGTGGAGCACTTTGCTCAGTATGTGCATAAACTCTGCAACCACTTGTCCATTAGAGTGAATGAAAGGTATAAAGAACACAGCTCTGTGTGTTTGTCATCCATTGCAATCAGTTTACAGTAGGCTGTGTGAGGCTTGTCACTGAGGATAGCTTGAGTAAAGGGCATGATATAATCTCTGACAGAAGCTCACTTAAAGTCCCAATCTTCCATCACCTGGAAGTTGTTCTCTTGGTGCTCTCTTTTATCTTGTTTGTCTACAGTTTGGGATGTGTGAGGCTGCAGTGGAATTGTTTGGGCTATGACTGAATGGATCTCAAGGGAAAATAGCTGTTACCTTTTCTTCCTTTGGGAGGGGAAAAAAAAAAAGCCTAAAGGCTGTGGATGTTGTGTCCAGGAATGCAGGCCTAAGTGCTGCTGATTTGAATGAGTCTGAGGATTGAGACAGAGCTTCTTGGCTTCAGCAGTGCATCTGAGGAGCTGGAATCACTACACTGCTGTAAGGAAGTGAAAATACTTACTGGTGTTTGTCTGAAATAGCTGTAGGTGTACCTCTGTAGTCACTGGTCCCAGCTTGAGGCTGGTAAAACCCATCAAAAACCATTTCCTTTACGTTCGTTACTTTGAACAGTCAGCCACAGATCTGAAATCCTCTGTCTGTAGGTCATTTTAGTCCCTCTGTGATGTTTTTGCACCAAAAGCTGTGGCATAACAGCAGCTGATAGGTGTCTGTTTCAAGGATACCCAGAGACACTGAGCAATGGGAGTGCTGTCAGCAGCAGCGTGCTTGAAAGCATTTGCAGAGCAACCCCACAGCAACCCCACGGCCTGGGGCTGTTGGGCAGCAGGATGCAGCCTGTTGCTATTGATATTTTGAACATCAGGTAGGGAAGCTGAGGTATCTGCATTAATTTGGGGGTCTGATCCAGTCTCTGCACCCCTGTTAAATCACAGAGGTGAAAATAATGTCCTTTGAGTGACGTGTTGCAGCAGTGTTGTCAGCTCTGTTCCTAATGGGAATAGAAAGACGATTGCAAAATAAATAAGAACTTTTGCTTTAAAGCTCTCCTTCAACTATATAGGACTTAAAAGTTCTCTTTTTGAGCTTGCATATGATTCTGTGTAGCTAAAAGAGCTGCAGTGCTGCAGGGTTCTCCCTTATCTCTTTCCAGTAATGCTCCCAGCTTCTGCCAGTGCTTGATTTGCAAGATACATTGTTTGCATAATTAATTTCTCATGAAAAGTTAATCTCCTTCCACATTCTCTGCTGCTGGAAGTTGATTTGTTCCTGTAAAGCAGTGCCAATCTCTCCTCCCCATCCTAAGCACTGACTGTGCTTCCTGCAGCTACGCGATGCCCACCAAAACCAACGAAGTGCTGTTCTTGGAAGAGCGAGGCTCCAAAATGCAGCTGGATGCAGTCCTCACCACCCACCAGAGGGTTGTCCAGGTATGAGCTGCTGGTTGCTGATAGTGCTGCAGCTCTTGTGCAGCACTTCCTATCTCAGACACTTTAACAAGAGGAGTTAAGTCCCTTGAACAACTGAAAGGTGTAATTTGTGCCTGAAGCACTAAGAAATCTAATTAGATTTCTAGCTAAAGGCTACTCGTGAAGTAGAAGGTAGAGAAGTGGTTCCTGGATCGTCATAAAGGGGGGTGGCCAGCAGGGACAGGGAGGGGATTGTCCCCCTCTGCTCTGCCCTCATGAGGCCCCATCTGCAGCACTGCATCCAGGGCTGGGGACCCAATACAAGAAAGGCAGGGAGCTGTTGGAGAGGGTGCAGAGGAGGGCCATAAAGATGAGCAGAGGGCTGCAGCACCTCCCTACAAAGACAGGCTGAGGGAGCTGGGCTTGTTGAGCATGGAGAAGAGAAGCTGTGGGGTGACCTCAGTGCAGCCTGCAGTGCCTCAAGGGAGCCTGCAGACAGGAGGGAAAATGACTGTTTACGAGGGTGACAGGACAGGGGGAATGGCTTGAAAGTGAGACAGGGGAGGTTTGGGTTGGATGTGAGGAAGAAGTTTTGGAGGCAGAGGGTGGTGAGGCACTGGCACAGGTTGCCCAAGGAGGCTGTGGATGCCCCATCCCTGCAGGCATTCAAGGCCAGGCTGGATGTGGCTCTGGGCAGCCTGGGCTGCTGCTTGGCGACCTGCACACAGCAGGGCTTGGAGCTGGATGAGCTGTGCTCCTTTGCAGCCCAGGCCGTTCTGTCATTCTGTGATTCTATTTCACCCAATTTATTGTCTGTGTTCTGCAGAACAAAGAGTAGAAATGTCATGTTTGAGGACAAACGATTGAACAAACTCCATGAAATGTGGAAATACTCTCAGCATCAGCCAGTTTCAGAATTGTACAGCTAGTTAAGTAGGTGTTTCTCCTAAGTGACAGTTCACTAATGCATACATATAGCATGTTCCTGTGCTGCATGCTGAGCATCTGCTGAATTATTCTAAACCTTAACAGACTGTTGTTCTAGAGAGATTTGGTGCAAGGTTAACACCAGGGCTTGCAAGTTTGCCATGACAGCTTTTGTGTAGAGTCTCACCTGAATGAAAGAGAACCAAACCAAGAGCTTTGGACTGTGCTGCACATGAGGTGTGCACACAAAGCTGAGTGCTTCTCTAATGAGGGACTTGGGTGCCCTGGGCTGATACTGAAATGGATTCTTTCTCCGTGCCATTAGTAAAACAAGTCTGTTTTGCATTTGTTCTGCTCCTGAAGCACTTTCTTTCTTCTTTCAGATCAGCAGATTGAGCTCAACGTTTGCTCCAATATTCTTGGAAATTATTCAGAGCAATCAGCCTGAAGGGGTCCATCTGTTAATGAAAGAGGTATGCTTAATTTTACCCGTGTGTGTGCATTTAGAGGGCAGGTATGATGCATGATGTGAATTTGCTTTGAAAAGCACAGGGACCTGGTCCTGAGGCTGCCAGTGTCTGCTCTAGAGCTATGGACACCCAGCATCTCCCAGAACCAGGCTCTTGGTCTGTCAAACACCATTCCTTTTAATACTTGATGGGAGTTTTATTTCCCACTCATCCTTTTATAATTAGTGCCACAGAGGGTATCTGCCCAGCCAGGCCCATAGATCTGTAGGAGATGGCAAGTTGCTTTCCTCTGCTCCTGTGGATTCCCTGCGACTCAGAAGGGAATACTCTTCTTTGACAGTGCCTTACAACCTCTTACCTGGGAGTCACCAGGAATTTCATGGAGTTGGTAGCAAAGCTGGGACTAGAAAACCAAATATTGTGTTCTGTTCTGATGGGATTTGCTCTGGGAAGGGTTCTGTTTTCTGCAGAAACCACTAACAGTTTTCTCAGCACTGAGGACTTCAAGACAGAATTACAGTCCCTAAACAGGACTCTTAGTGCACCAGGCATAAGGAGATACTTTATGCTGTTTTATGTGTAGACAAAACAGTTCCAGGAAACCTCTTTTAATTCAGGGCCTAAAAAGATTTTACAGCTGGAAAGGGAAGGCAGCACACTGAATTCAAATGTAAAAGCTGTTTTCTTACAAGGCCTTTGTAGAACATTTAGTTATCTCCAGCTCTGCAAAAACACAAGGAATATAGGAGGAGGTCTCTTGAGTCCAGTAATCTCCTTTGCTTTGGTCACAGTCTTAGGACTGCCATCTGATAGCTTTGTCTCCGGAGGGAGAAGTGTGACATTGTGCCATTTGCAAAGTCATTGCAGTCTGATGCAAGGTGCCCAGGGGAAAGACTTGAGCTGGCTCTGTAAAGCTGGCAACACAGAGAGAGATTAAAGCTCTGGGATGCCCTACAAAGCTCTGGAGGAAGTGGCAGGACTCTGTAAGGACGTGGATGCAGAGCTGACAGGCAGTGGCAGAGCTGGGGCTGTCCAACTTCCCGAGCACAGTGCCAGTGCTCAGTCTTTCAGAAAGTAATTTCTCACTCAAAGACTTTGGTTTGATAGCTGAACTTAACACATGGCTTTATGGTTCTATGGCTTGCTCCCAGTTTTCTGTTTCCTGTGTTATTTTTGATCAGAAATACTCACATCCAAAATGCAGCGGTGAGGAGGAGCCTTCAAGGCTGAGCTGGGGCCACAAAGGAGTCCCACTACCTTGGTTCAGCTGACGTTTCAATCTTTCACTTTTCAGTGATGCACTTTGAGGGAGGGTTTATCTTTCTCTTGATTTGGAAAGTGATCAAGGTGATTTTTGATGTGCTTTTTCTTTTCCTCTCTACAGCACACGGAAACTGACTTCAAGAGCCGACTGAAATCCCGACCAGAACTCGAAGAGCTGCTGGCCCAGGTGAGCTGAGGTGCTGGAGAACACTCTGTCCATTCCAGAGCCATCCCTGGGAACGCAAGGCTGATCTTCCTCAGCTGCTCAAGCCTCCAGAAGGTTGACTTTGTGAGCTCTGTCCTGACAAGGAGAAATTTCCATCGTTGGGAAGCATCTCTTCTATGAATCTTAACAAGGACAAATACATACCTTTGTGTCTGACTCCTTTGTGCTGTGAATGAAAGGGATCCACAGTGAAATTTGGTTTCTCAGTTCTCCTTTTTTGGCATGTTTTGGTTTGTGAACACGACTGTTTCAGCCTACAGAAGTGTCTTAAGTTAATAATGATAACCTGAATTGCTTCCTTAGACAAAACTGCTCAGATCTAGAATTGGAGGCTTAGAAATATAGAATCTCGAAATCTGCAACTGGTTCTTCTGTCAGTCTGAGCAAGGTGAAGCCAGCAGGGATTCTGCTGCAACGAGAAGCCCCTCTCCTCCCAGGACAAAAGACTCCAAACCACTTCCCCATCATTGCAACCCAAATTCTCCCAGATGCTACTGCTGTGGAAGGCACTGTCGTGCTCTTTTCTGCAGCTGAAGGCTGGAACGTTGTGTTCTCATACACCTGCAAAGATCAGAGCTCTGCCAACATGAATGGAGCCTCAGAACACTGGGAAGTTAGGGATGAGCATCCCTGAGCAGCTGAACAATTGCAGCATAACAAAAAAAACTCAGCAGAGGGAGGAAGGTTGGAGCCATCTGTCAGGCAGTGTGTGCAAAGTTACCCCTTGATTTCAGATTTGCCTTTCACACCATTAAAGACACACGTTTCTCCCTGGATCCCTCAAGCCAGATCATTTGGAAAGGGAGAAATCACTGTGCCTTGAAAGCAGGAAGTGCAGAGCTTGGGGAATTTCCCAGAATGGTGCACTGAAGCAGGGAGAGAAAGTAAAGCCTGAAAGTGTGGCAAGCTGTCAGCACTTCAGGAAGCAGAGACAAAAGCTGTTTGCAGAGCTGCAGCCCGACAGCTCCGTGTCAGCACAGGAATACTGATCATCCCTGCTTGCGCTGAGCTCCAGACCACCTGTCTGCTCCTTCCCCCAGCCCTGGCTCTGTGCATTGCAGTGCTGAAATGTGGGAACAGAGTTTGGCTGCTCCAGCAAAACAATCCCAGAACGGCTTGGGATGGAAGGGACCTCAAGGATCACGAAGCTCCAACCCCCCACCAATGCAGGGCCACCAACCTCCCCATCTCACAGCAGCCCAGGCTGCCCAGGGCCCCATCCAACCTGGCCTTGAACACCTCCAGGGATGGACGGGGCATCACAGCCTCTCTGGGCAGCTGTTCCAGCCCCTCACCACTCTCTCTCTAAACAACTTCCCCCTGACATCCAACCTCCAGCTGCCCTCCCTCAACTCCAAACCATTTCCCCTTGTCCTGCTGCCATCTCCCCTTTCACAGAGCTGACTCCCCTCCTGTCTGCAGGCTCCCTTGAGGCACTGCAGGCTGCACTGAGGTCACCCCGCAGCTTCTCTTCTCCATGCTCAACAAGCCCAGCTCCCTCAGCCTTTGTAGGGGAAAGGAGCTGCTGCTTGTAGGTATCCACGTGGACACAAAGTGGAAGAGGTTGCAGCACCCAAGTTTCTGCTCTTCTCCTTGTATTTCTGAATGCCTAAGGCAGGGAGGTTGGAACTGGGTGATCCTTAAGGTCCTACCAACCCAAACCATTCTGTGATTCTAAAGCTGCTTTAATTTAGGCTGAGACCACCTGATCATACCATCCGTTGTGTAGGTATGCTCTAATCAAATTTCAGCCTTATTTTGGATGCTTATAGGAGATTAGAAAAAGATGTATTTTCTGATACATTTCATCAGGAAATGAGCCATTTCCTTGCTATATCTGGGGTCTGTAGAAGACCTACAGAAATCTCAAGTTTCCCTTCCAAACCAAGAGAGGATTTGAGTCTGTTTTTACAGCTCATTTGCCACGAGGTTCAGTGGGGCTGCACCTCACCTCCCTTCTTCTCCCACCCCAAATATTTTTGGGCCTTCCCAGAAGAGAGCAGCTCACCCTCCAGAGGCTGAAAGCTTTGAGAAAGGCAGAGTGGAATCCTGGTGCGAGTAACCAGTGCTTTGGGCTGCTGCCTCATTGATTAAACCTTTATTGTATGGTACTGCCATAGTGCAGCAATCCATTTTGTGCTTTACAGAAAGACATGAGTTCTTCAGCTAGGAGAAATGCCATCACATTTAATTTCCTGGCTTAAAATTAAGATGATTGAAGCAAGATAACAATCCACTTTAAAAAAAAAAAAAAATAGGAAAAATAACAGGATATGTGTCCCATAGCACAGCCCACATCTCTGGGGGACTGATAGAGCTGTCAGGGTGCCTGGTGCAGTGTCCCTACTGGGGGTTCAGTCCTAGGAGCTTCAGTCTCTGTGGGGGGAGCATTGGGGTGGGTTGGGGTGCAGCTCCTCAGGGTGTGGGTGCTGCTGACGTGCCATGCACTGCCGGAAGGCCTGGACCTGAGCCTGGCAGCGCCGCCAGTCCCGTTGCTCTGCCATGCACTCCTGCAGTGCCCAGTGCTGCTCTGCACAGCCCGTCCGTGACACCATGGCCTCCACTGGATCCTCCTCCTCTTCCTCCTGCGATTTAGGACGGCTCCAGGCATGTCCAGGCTTTGCCATAGTTCCGGTTCCTAGAGCGGGGCTGGAGGGTGATGGCAGACATCAGGGTGCTGCCTCCCATGACTGTTCTGATGACTGGGGGCATTTTCTTTTTAGGTGGTACAGAACCACCACCTTTCTTCCCCCCCAGCCTATGGATACACCCCATACAATCTCCATGGCACCCAGCACCTCCCTTACCTCTACGGGTACCTGGAAATCCCCATGCAACCCTCAGAGCACCCAGCACCTCCCCATACCTTTATGAGTGCTCAGCACCCCCTTCCTCCTCCCCTCCCCCCCGGTGGAACCCAGCATCTTCTATACCTCTATGGGCACCCAATAACCCCCTGCACCCCCACAGCACCCATGTGTCTCCCAGGGGTGCCCAGCAATCCCCATACACCCTCCAGAGCACCCAGTACCCCCCATAAAACCCAGTATCCCCCCATATGCCTCAAGGACACTCACAACTTCCCATACCCTTACGAATACTCAGCACCCTTATGTGCCCCCCCAGCTCACCCCACACGCCCATGGGTGCTCAGCTGTCCTCCACATCACCCAGTACCCCCCATACGCCCCCCCAGAGCACACCACACCCCCCACGTACCCCTCCCTGGGCATCCAGCGGATCCCAAACCCATATGAGTGCCCCCATACAACACCCAGAGGGCTCATCACCTCCTACGCGCCCAGACCCTCCCTCCCCCAGTATCCCCTAGAGGCGTTCAGCTCCCTCCGTACCCCTTTAACTCCGCGCGGCCCCTTTAAAGTTGACTTCCGTGTAGACACTTCCGGGGCGGGGAGAAGTCGCGAAACGCTCGTTCATTGGAGGGCGCCTGGACCTTCCGCTTCCGCCCCGCGTGGGTGCTGACGGGAAAGAGGAAGGCGGAAGAGGAAGGGGGTGTAGCGTCAAGATGGCGGCGACGCTGCGGATCCAGAGCGATTGGAGTCAGGCGCTGAGGTGGGAGCTGCCCCTCTGTCCTTTTCCAGCCCCGATCTCATTCTCCCGGCCCCGCGGTCACTGCCGGTCTTTCTCTCCGCAGGAGGGATGAGGGTGAGGCCTGGCTGAGCTGCCGCAGCCCGGGTGAGCGCTGAGGGCGACCTGTGGAGCGCCTGGGTGGGGGTGGTGCGGCCTGAGGGGGGTGGGAGCTGAAGGGTGGAGTGGTGGCCTGGGAAAGTCATTTAAGGAGAAATAACCCCGCAGGTCGAGGGGGCTGGGACCTGTTGGGAGCTGCGGGGTCGGGGAGTTGAGGGTGGTTGTGGAGGGGGTACGAGGGTAAGGAAGGTTGTGGGGGTATTGAGAAGAGTGGAGGGCGTTTTGGGAGGGGGTGTGAGATAGGAGAGTGATAAGGGTGGTTCTGGGGAAATCTGGGGGTTAGATGGAGGGAGTGGGGAGAGTTCTGGGGGGGACTTTTTAGGTTAGGTGTAGGGTGAAGGTGGCTGGGGGTTTTGGGAGATGAAGATGGTTGGGGGTGGGCTGTGAGTAGGGAGTGAGGGGAGTTTTGGGGAGAGAAATGAATCTGCAGGTTAAGAAGAGGGAATGAGAGTGGTTTGGTTTGGGGAAACGGGGTTAAGAGGGTGTGAGGGTGGCTTGGTGAGGCCTTGTGGGTTAGGAAGAGGTGGGTAAAGATGGTTTGGTGGGAGTTAGGAGGGGGTGAGAATGGTTTGAGGTGATGAGAGCAGTTTTGGGGGTATTCTGGGGATAAGGACAGGGTGAGGATGGTTTGAGGAGTGGGAATAGTCTGTGGAATAGGAAGGAGGGGTGAGAATGATTTGGTGGGGGACAGTTTAAGAGACTCATTTGGATTAAGAGAGGGTGGGAATGTTTTTGGATGGGTTAGGAGAGGAGTGAAGATAGTTTTGGGTGGACAGTGTGGGTTCGGAGAGGGTGAGGATGCTTTGAGGGAGGTCTTTATGTTAGAAGGAGGGAGTAGAAGTGGTTTTGCAAGAGGCACTGTAGGTTAGGAAAGGATTGGAGGTTTGTGGGGGGACACTGTGGGTTAAGTAGAGGGGTGAGAATGTCTTGGGGGGCACCACGTGGGTTAGGATGGTTTGAGAGATGCCTGTGGGTTGGGTGGGTGGTGAAGATGATACGAGGAGAGACTGTGAGTTAGGATGAGTGGAGTGATGACAGTTTGGGGAAGCTCCACAGGTTAGGAGGAGAGGGTGAGGACAATTTAGAGGAGTCATAGAATCATGATAGAATGGCCTGGGTTGAAAAGGACCACAGAGCTCATCCAGTTCCAACACCCTGCTGTGTGCAGGGTTGCCAACCAGCAGCCCAGGCTGCCCAGAGCCACATCCAGCCTGGCCTTGAATGCCTCCACAACCTCCTTGGGTAACCTGTTCCAGAGTGCTAGGAGGTGGTGAGGGTGGTTTTAGGGGTAGGGAGCAGAGGGCTGTGGGTTAGGAAGAGGGAATGAGAATGGTTTATTGGGAGAGAGGGGGAGGAAGCAGTGGTTAGGAGGGTGTGAGGATAGTTTTGTGGGCACCTGCAGGTTAAGAAGAGGGTTGAAGGTAGTTGAGGGATGAACCCTGTGGGTT